ACCTACAGGATAGTGGCCCTTGAGGACCAGGATTGGACACCCCTGGTCTAAAACATACAGGATAGTGGCCCTTGAGGACCAGGATTGGACACCCCTTGTGTCAAACCTACAGGATAGTGACCCTTCAGGGCCAGGATTGGACACCCCTGGTCTCAAACCTACAGGATAGTGGCCCTTGAGGACCAGGATTGGACACCCCTGGTGTCAAACCTACAGGATAGTGGCCCTTGAGGACCAGGATTGGACACCCCTGGTGTCAAACCTACAGGATTGTGGACCTTGAGGACCAGGATTGGACACCCCTTGTGTCAAACCTACAGGATAGTGGCCCTTGAGGACCAGGATTGGACACCCCTGGTCTAAAACCTACAGGATAGTGGCCCTTGAGGACCAGGATTGGACACATTTGGTCTAAGAAAATGTCTCGTTGCCTTCTTCCAAAGACAAAAAGCAGGACCAAACGTGTCCTGTATTCGTGACCCTGCTGGTGGATCTGGTCTGCTCAGTAACCTGTTGTGGTTCCAGGTCTGATGATCCCAGTATTCTGCGTGGTCGAGCACGCAGAGGCAGCCGGGGACTGCGAGGCACGTCGGGACCATCACGCAGAGTTTGTGTTGGTTCGTAAAGACATCCTCTTCACGCAGCTGGTGGAGGCAGCGCTCGTGGCTCTCGGATACTCTCACAGCTCGGCGGTCCAGGCTCGTGGTAAGTAGAATTTTTGTGTCAACGTTCGGCTGTTTTACAACAGATTCTATAAATCATGAAAAAAAATGGTTAAAAGTAGAACATTAGATACAACTACAGATCTGCTGAGAGCTGAAAAATGCTACGAATTGCTTAAATAATTTGTAAAGTTAGCAGAAAGAAGCTAAAATCAGCAAAACGGTAGCTAAAGACTAAAATTGGAAAAACATTTTGCAAAAAATTAATTTAGCAAACGTTAGCTTAAAGATAACCTTGGCAGCACATTAGCTGAAAGATCATTTTAGAAACACATTAGCTGCAAAATAACTTTAGCAACATATTAGTTGAAATATATCTTTAGCAACATATTATCTGAATGATAACTTAAGCAACATATTAGCTGAAAGATAACTTTAGCAATACATTAGCTGAAAGATAACTTTAGCAACATATTAGCTGAAAGATAATTTCAGTAGCACATTAGCTGAAACATAACATTAGCAACACATTAGCTGAAAGATAACTAACAACACAGTAAAAAAGAAAAAATAGGAACAAATTAGCAAAGAGCTAAAATTAGCAACGCATCAGCTAAAAGAGAAATTTTGAAAAACTTAGCAAAGAGCGAAATTTTGTAGCACATTAGCTCACAGATAGTTAGCAACACATTAAAGGAGAAAAATAGCCACACCTTAGCTAGGAGTAAAAATTAGCAGCACAGCTAAAAACTAAAAATAGCAACACATTAGCTAAAAGATAAGTTGTGGCACATTAGCTAAGAGCTAAAATAGTCATGACCAAAAAGGTTAAGTCACCAAAAGGATAGCTTAAAGGTCAAATTAGCTGAGATTAGCAACACACGAGCTAAAAGAAGTTTAGCTAAAATTAGAAACAATGTAAATTGAAGCCAAAATTAACAGACAGTAGCTAAAATTAGCACAAGATGATGGCAAAAGATTCTGGAAAGAAAAATCTGTTAAATAAAGAAGTTAAGTATTTCTATAAATTTAAAAGTTAAAAAGTTAAAGTCGCAGCACGCTATTCCTGATCAAGCCGAACGTTTTCACATTTGATCAGCCGTAACAGCCGAAAGTCTGTGGAAGCTGTTTGACTCTTTTTATTTTTCATCCAAACTTTTGGCACTGTTCTGAAGTCACGTTCGGTTAAAGTTCAGCACAAACGTTTAAAAATGGGTTTCCAGTCAGTTTCACAGCTAAAGTTTTCAGTGAAACGTCTGAATCCAGAACTCAGCGGAACCGATCCGTTTGCTCTTCAGAACGTTCGGTTCTTATGATCCGACCCAGTCCTGCTCGAAGCTCTGGTTCTGAACAACGAGGCGTTAATTATTGAGCAGCAGCTGAATAAAACATGGTTCGGCTCCAGATGTGTGGCAGCGGTGGAGACGTCAGACAGCTGCCGGGGGGGTCGGGGGGCCCGTCTTATCTCTTCAGGAGGGTGGAACCAAACAAAAACCGTTATCTGACCATCTGAGAGCAGACCCTGCTCCCAGCAGTCTCAGATCAGAACTGACAGCCTTTAGACAACGTGCACGCACGCGCACGCACATAGCTACGGCTGTTTGACATTCCTGGCGTGTCCCGTAAACACGAGGCGCTCCGACCGAGCAGCCGACGCCCTGCGACCCCCCCTCGCCTCTCCCAAATAGCAGGTTTTGTTCAGAGGAACGGCCTTTTCTTCTCAAATAAATAATTCGTGGCCGGAGTCGAGCGTTCTTCTCCCCTCGGTGTGGTCAACGACCACAATTACACGGAGGCTGTTTTCCTCTCTGATTGAGCCGCGTCGTGCACGGCGTCGACTGGACGAGTATTTTTAAACTTTTAAAGACTTTTCTTTGTGACGGCTCGATCTGATTGGAGTTTACAGTTCCTGCCTTGGTTTTTACTGGGAAGGTGAAATAACCGAACACGAGCCGACACACGATGTCCTCAAAGCCCCAGACAGTTTTTAAATAAGCAGACAAAAGATACGCACAAGGTGAAATCGTCCCCGACTCCTCTGCAGGTTCAGGGAGTCTTCACCTCTGAGTACTGGGTCTGAGTTAGCTGCCAGTTGGGGTCACGCATCAAGGTCAACGTCAGCACAAGCTCGTTGGGTCATTGCCATCGACGCTCTACGGTAGTTTGTCGACAGGCGTAGAATACACGGTCCTCCTGTTGTTTGTTGCCGCCAGCGATGAGCAGAACGGCGGCTGTAAGACCACCGGTGTGCCCCCGACACGTCGGCCGGTCGAGGCTCGACGCGCTGCTTTAGCGCAGCTCTGGTTTCCACGTTCCTGCTCCGGTGAATCAGCCGAAGAGTCCAACAAGAGCCAGCTTAGTCCGGGCGCCCCCATCACCACCATGCTCACAGGACCGAGGCTAGCAGGCGAAGGCTGGGCGGAGTCTGCGTTTGACTTCAGAGATCCTGACGTGACTACGTCTGTTTAGGTTTTCACTTCCAGTCGAGGGTCGCGTGAAGGTCGCGAGTGCTCGAGATGACGCTCTGAGGCCAGAGGAGCTGACAGCGCCGCTTTCTGCTGATTATAGCACAGAAACATGAACGTACGCTCAAACAGCCTGTGTGTGTGTGTGTGTGTGTGCGTGTGTGTGCGTGTGTGTGTGTGTTCTGCAGGCATTATTAAAGTGGGAAGATGGAAGCCGATGCCCATCCATTACTTGACCGATGCTCCAGAGGCGACGGTGGCCGACATGCTGCTGGACGTTTACCACATGGTCACGCTGAGGATCCTCCTGCACAGGTCAGCTGGGGGTGTGTGTGTGTGTGTGTGTGTGGGGGGGGGGGGGGCGCGTCCATCGATCGTGGAGGCAGCAGGTCCAGGAGGAAAAACCCAGACCTCCCTCTCCCCAGAGACGCTCTTCAGCTTCTCCTGGGGGACAAGATGTTCTTAGACCAGAGAGGATCTATGACAGCTGGGCAGCTGTGGCTGAGTGGTTAGAGCAGCCGTCCTCCAATGGGAGAGTTGAGGGTTCAATTTCACCAGCAGTCACATGCTGAAGTGTCCCTGGGCAAGACACTGAACCTTTCATTGCCTCTGATGTGCGTCCCATCAGTGTCTGGATGTGATGAAGTGATTTATTCAGGTTAATCCCACTGATCTGAGGATGTGTGTGTTGGAGGTACTTGAAGGCACAGATTGTGTTGTCAAGAGCTTTGAGTATCTTGATTACACAGAAAGTCTCGGTGTAAGTCCTACCATGACCCTCCAGAGAGTTCCAGGTCTCTTCCCAGTAGAATGTGCCAGGAGAACCTCCAGAGGAGGAGCAGAGGAGCAGCAGCTCCTCACCCGACCTGTAAGGCTGAGCTCATAGTCAGGATCTGGTTGTTTCGCCCCTGATCCAAACCTCCTGACCACAGGTGAGGGTTGGAACGCCGACGTCCCACTAAATCCAGAGCTTTGCCTTTCGACTCAACTTCACCACAACCAAGCGAAGCAAAGGCTTCGTTACTGTGGACGAGGTCCTGATCCATGGATCCATCCACCGCTGTGGGGCAGACCTGGGACCAGCGAGTCACGGTTTGAACTCTCCACCATGTCCACGTGTTGTGGCTACCTGTTCCCAGTGCGCTTCCAGTTCCTCCACTCAGGTGTTTCTCACGTGGAGGATTTATCACTTACCATTTTACTTATCGTCTGCTGAGCGTCTTGACTGGAGCACGATTGTGTTCAGACTAAATGCTTTCACGTATTTAAGTCACGAGGACTCAATTTCAAGAGAGCTGTTTTAGACAGACAACAATAAACAACAACAAAAAGCAATTACAATAAAATGTGTTATAAAAACACTGTTACTGTTAGCAGACTGGTTCTGTTAGCAGTGAGGTCCTGTTAGCAATGTGGTCCTGTTAGCAACATGGTTCTGTTAGCAAAGTGGTTCTGTTAGCAATGTGACCCTGTTAACAATGTGGTTCTGTTAGCAGTGAGGTCCTGTTAGCAGACTGGTTCTGTTAGCAGACTGGTTCTGTTAGCAGTGAGGTCCTGTTAGCAATGTGGCCCTGTTAGCAACATGGTTCTGTTAGCAAAGTGGTTCTGTTAGCAACATGGTCCTGTTAGCAACATGGTCCTGTTAGCAGAGTGATTCTGTTAACAGTGTGGTCCTGTTAGCAACATGATTCTTTTAGCAGTGTGGTCCTGTTAGCAATGTAGTTCTGTTAGCAATGTGGTTCTGTTAGCAATGTGGTTCTATTAGCAACATAGTCCTGTTAGCAACATGGTTCTGTTAGCAATGTGGTCCTGTTAGCAACATGGTCCTGTTAGCAGAGTGATTCTGTTTAAGTGTTGTCCTGTTAGCAACATGGTTCTGTTAGCAGTGTGGTCCTGTTAGCAGTGAGGTTCTGTTAGCAGAGTGGTTCTGTTAGCAACATGGTCCTGTTAACAGAGTGGTTCTGTTAGCAGAGTGGTCCTGTTAGCAGTGTGATTTAGTTTCAAATTAAGTATTTTTCTCGTTAAGAACTTTCATTCTCCTTCGACTCGGACAGGTCTGGGTCAGAACCGTGAGCGTGTTTTTGCTGTTTTAGTTTAAATGAAGTGTTTATCTCTGCAGCTGATTGAAATGTTTGACACGTTCTGACCTGCCTGATGAACGGAGCGGCCTCACGACGGCAGAAACCACCAGAACCACGTTCAGAACAAGTCTTGTGTTTCTGTCGAGCTCAGCTCACTTGAAACCTACAAGAGAAGAAGAAGAGACGTCTCAAAGGCGAGCCGAGTCTGGGCTGAGAAAACTTTAAACAACAAAACAAAATGTCCTCCTTCTGTTTAAAGTTTGTCCACACAAACTTAAAAATGTTTAGAAATGAGACGTTCGCTGCTTGGTGAAGAAAAAAAGAAATAAAACCAGAATTTCGTTGCAGTTTCTCTCGCCTGGAGGAGCTGCCGTCCGACCAGTGGAGCCACGCCACGGTGAGGAAGGCCCTCAAAGACCTCCTCCGAGAGAGCAACCACAGCGCGCTGGCCAAGGAGTGTCCTCTGTCTCAGGTAAACACACCTGTTCAGGTCACATCCTGTCTCAGGTCCTGTCCCTCCAGATCAGATTCCACCCAGAGAGGACACAAGACCCGAAGCAGAAATTATTTCTAACAATCTATAGGACCCAGAAGCTGAGACCAGTTTGAGTTCTGGTGGTCAGCACAGCAGCGCGGTGCAGTTTGACTTCATGTTTCACGTTAACCCTCCTGCTGCTCCTGGGTTAAAGCGACCCACAAGACTTCACACCGAGGTCTTGTGGGTCGCTTGAACCCAAGGCCAGCAGGAGGGCTGATCATGTAAGAGCCTAATGAGTGAAGCAGTTTTAGGAGTGAACTTCTTCAGCGTTTGGTCCGACACGCAGCTGAAGATGGCCGAGTGCTTCCCCTAAACACACGTTCAGTCCTCGGATCACCACACGCTGATGCACCGTGTAATCTGACTCAGTCACACGCGCAAATATTGATACCATCCCACGGGAAAGGATGCAAGCACGCACACCTCAATTATCGTGCTCACACACACCCTGCAGTCGTTAAGAGCCGAGCGTGTCATTTGGGCTCGTGATTTATACGCGAGGCTTCGTCATGATGTAATTAGTGATTAGGGGAAGCATGTGGGTGGTGTCAGCCTGACTCATGTGAGCTCTCCTCCTCGCCGTTTCCCATGTTGAGCCTGTGCACCTCCTGCTCCGACCACGGCTCGCATTAGGAACGGGCGAGGGGTTTTAATAAATCAGCCGAGAGTCGGCGAGACGAGTCGAGCGTCGTCTGCAGCTCTGCAGGTGAACCCGTCGAGCTGAAGGAAGTTAAAACGTGAAACTCTTTTTAGATCTGAGTCAGGAAACTAAGTCCTTATAAAGAACCCAGTAAAATGTCAAAGTTTAAACTGGTGAACAAGCAGCTAACACAATTTGAAGGTTTTTAATATTTAGTCCAGCACCCAGTCCAGTCTGGCCTTCATTCAGGGCATAGTTGTACTGTAGTCGCGCTGAACGTTCTCAGTGATCCAGAACCTGCACTGGACTCCAGACAGGACTGAGGATCAATATTCACCAATTTAGCAAAAGATGTCGACTCCGTTGATCGTTCCATCTTACTGAAGCAACCTGACCGTGTTAGAAGTTCAGGACCGCCACTAACACGGTTCCGTAATTATCTTTCAAATAGGTTGCAGCAGGTCTCATACTCTCATACTCTCATACTCTCATATTCATAGTCATACTCTTATACTTATACTCTCATACTCGTTGTCCAGAGGACCAGACTTAACTTTTTTGCTTTTTCTATTGGGATTATTGATGCATGCATCAGGATATCTCATACGCATACTCTCATACTCATACTTATACTATCATACTCTCATACTCAGGCTCATACTTAAACTCTCATACACTCATTCTCATACTCTCATACTATCACCCTCATAATCTCATACTTTTCATTCAACCTTTATTTAGACAGGTAAATCCCAGTGAGCCTCGAGGACTCATTTACAAGAGAGACCTGACTTAAACTCTCATTCTCTCATACTATCATGCTCTCATACTCCTTGTCCAGAGGACCAGACTTAACTTTTTTAGATTTTTCTACCTGGATTATTGAGCATGCATCAGGATATCTCATACTCATACTCTCAAATTTATACTATCATACACTCATAATCATAGTCTCATACTTATACTATTATACTCATACACTTGTTCTCATACTCTCACCCTCATACTAACATACTCTCAAACTTTCATACTCATACATGCATAGTCTCATACGTCACAGTTTCTTCCAGTTATGTCAGGTGTACCACAAGGCTCCATTCTTGGTCCAACTCTTTTCTCCATATTTATAAATGATATCTGATATTCTGTTAGTGAGAAGTGCATCCTTTTATCTGCTGATGACACTATTTTATATGCTTTTGGTTCCATGAGGTTGTGAAGTCCCTGGCATGTGATTTTCTTGACATCCAGCAGGTCTTTTCGGACTTAAATTTGTCCCGAAATGCCAAGAAAACTAAATTGATGTTGTTCAGTCATAGAGGAGGAACCATACCACCTCAGTGGACTTCAGCACTGTAAACAGTGATATTATAGAGTAGCTAACAGCTTATAAATATTTAAGAGTTTGGATTAATGATGCTCTGTGCTTTTCACATCATGTTAATGTTTTACAATCTAAGGTTAAAGCCAGACTTGGTTATCTAGATAGAAATAGATCTTTGTTTACATTGGCTGCAAAACGCACTATTGTTAAAATAAAAACCCCATTCTACCTGTGTTGGATTATGGAGACATAATTTGCAGACATGTTAAGGGTGTCCTTCGTAAGCTGGACACAGTTTATCACTCTGCTATTCACTTTGTTACAAACGCTCCTTATAGAACATCATGGTCACCTCTGCTCTTGTTAAAGGACCTTCTCTACATACTTGTGGTGAACTTGATTGGTTTACCCTCATTTATAAGACTTTGCTGGTTATTCACCTCCATATTTAACTCATGTATTGCAACTAGCACCAGTTTGGAAGTATAACAGCCGCTCCTCTCAGTATTTGTGGTCAACAAGTCTAAAGACCAAGTCTGGTTCTGCTGCTCCGGCTCACTAGAAGCTGCTTTGGGTCTGACCTCACTTGTCTCAGGTTCTACTTCCCTTCTCTTGACCTAAAAGAACCTGTCGGTGTTGCCAGGCCAGCTCTGTAAATAAGAATTGGTTCTTGGTGTTCATGCCTGTCGAGGTCGGTCTTTGTTTGTGCGGGCCGTTGCTACAGGTCTCCGAGTCACAGATGGTAACGTCCGTCCTCTTTGTCCTTCAGAGCATGATCTCGGCCATGGTGAACAGCTCCTACTACGCCAACGTTTCCACCTCCAAGTGCCACGAATTCGGACGCTGGTACAAGCGGTACAAACGCATCAAAGGTAACCGTTAACGCTTCACACCCACGCGGTCTCGCTTCAGAGCCTCCGAGTGCGGCGGAGGAACGCAGGTGGAGCTCGACGTTCAGCCTCGGCGATGTTTGAGCGACGCTCAGCGTGAAGCCACATTTCTGTAATTACAGATCAATGCTGCAAATATTTGTTGGCTGTCAGGGAACAGCGTGCACGTTTATCAGCACAGGGCTGTTAATGAGCCGCTGTGCACCTAATGGCACCTTAACTTGTCTGAAGAACAGCTTGAACCCATTTTAGCTCCGTTTGTTTCGAGAGAAAACTCACGAATTTAAATAAAACAGACAGAAGATGATGCTTCTCATTTAACGAGCCTCAGATGTTAAAATGATAAAAACATATTTCTGAACGTCGCAGTTTCATCTCAACTCTGTGGTTTGTTCAGGTTCAGACACTTGGACGGTTGCTTTTCAGTTTCTTGTTTGATAATTGAAGTAATAAAGAAACCAGAGGGTTTTAAAAACACGAAACGATGAACAGACTGGGAGCAGGTGCGTGACGAAGCAGAGACAGGAAGTGATGTCGAAACAAAACGTTTTAATTTAAAGTTTTAAAATGAAGACGGGAGAATGAGTCACAAACACGTATTCAGAGCAGGAGACGGCGTCTCCAACGACCCGAGACATCAGGAGACACGCTGGTTTTATAAAACGACCAGGTGCGCCTTCCCTCTGCTCCACTGTTCCACGGTTTGTTCCTGACGACTGTTAGACTCTTGTGAAAGCAACACTTAGTGTCAGGGTAATGACCCACCTGCCCGGCTGCCTTCATTCACCTTGAGGGAAGTTTCTGACCCCCCCCCCCCGATGATTCGTACATCGAATGTTTGTGTCGGCTGTTACTTGTCGATCTGTCAGAGACGGCTCTCAGTAGGAAGGAGCTGTCACACATGGTTCACATTAACGTCATCTTTAATACACGACAAAACCAAATGCTCTTAACTCCTAATGGAAAACAGCAGCGCCTCCCCAACACACACACACACACACACAGAAATAAAGGGTTCAACACTTCCAGTGGCTCTGAACCGCAGCCTGCACGAAGTGAAACAGGCAGGTTGATCTGGAAGTGGACCGCCTGAACCCGGTCTCAGTTCTGTTCAGTGTTCCATCGAGCTAAAGGTAAAGATAAAGAGCTAAAGGTGACGAAGAATCGTTCTTTGATCTTTGAGAGTTGGGAATCGAGACAACTCAGTCACCGAGGAGTCAGAGTGAATGTTGAGTGTTACATGAGTGCTAAACAGAGCTGAACAATGGCTAACAGCTAAAATGATCAGAACACTGGCTTAAGGCTAAAAGAATTAGAACATTGACTAAAGACTAAAAGAATCATAACATTGGCTAAAGGCTAAAAGAAGAAGAACACTGGCTAAAGGCTAAAAGAAGAAGAACACTGGCTAAAGGCTAAAAGAAGAACACTGGCTAAAAGCTAAAATAAGTAGAACACTGGCTAAAGGCTAAAAGAAGTAAAATACTGGCTAAAGGCTAAAATAAGCAGATCACTAGCTAAAGCCTAAAAGCAGCAGAACACTAGCTAAAGCCTAAAAGCAGCAGAACACTAGCTAAATGCTAAAAGCAGCAGAACAATAGCTACCAACCTTGACTCTGTTTCAGTTTATTCTTGACTGAGTGATTTTTAACGAGCTCTCACTGAACATCTAAAAAAGCAGAAGTAGAAACTCTCCACTCGGTGGCGTACCTCAGGGCAGCTACTGTGAGCCCCCCAGTTTACAAACACTGATGACTTTGGCTGTTTGTGTACTCACTGTGGACCTGAATGATTTGACTTGTGTCCCTCAGGTGAATATGCGGAGAAGATCTGGTCCTCTCTGGAGAAGTCTGACATTAAAGGTACGTGCACCTCCGTTAAACGTGCTTTTTTCCTTTTGGAAGCTTTATTTGGTCTCAGTGACCAAATCAATAAACACAGTATATTAATACTTTGTGTTGTTGACAAATAGGTTGTATATAATAAACTTAACTGTGCGTTTGTTGACTCAGTGGAGAGGGACTTGGACCTGACCCTCCTCAACCATCGTCCCCCATCTCTCCTGCCCTCTTCCAACCATTTGGGTCCCTTGGGCGACCATGGAACTCTTCCAATCAAGACCAGCCTTGGGGACGCCCAGACCCCCGCACAGCCCCATGGTCTTCCTCATCCTGGAGGCCAGAACCACCCAAGACCCACTCTGCGTCCCCAGGCTCCGACCCTTCTGAGCCATGGCGGGTTGTTGTCACCGCAGCTCGTACGTCAGCAGCTCGCCATGGCCCACCTCATCAACCAACAGCTGGCGGTCAGCCGCCTGCTCGCCCACCAGCACCCACCGGGAGTCAACCAGCAGTTCCTCAACCACCCCCCTATCTCACGGACCTGCAAGGTCTCAGGGGCTCCTTCAGACCCCATCCTTACCTGCTCAGGAGCTGAAGTCTCCTCTGACATTTACCAGCAAGTCAGGAACGAGCTGAAACGGGCCAGTGTGTCCCAGGCCGTGTTTGCACGGGTAGCTTTCAACCGCACGCAGGTGAAGGGCGACAAAGTTCAGATCTGAATAAATCTGCACGATGGTCGTTTTTATTTTAAGGCAATCCTTCATTTCCTGCAGGGCCTGCTGTCTGAGATCCTTCGGAAGGAGGAGGATCCCCGCTCGGCCTCCCAGTCGCTGCTCGTCAACCTGAAGGCCATGCAGAACTTCCTGAACCTGCCGGAGGCCGAGCGAGACCACATCTACCAGGAAGAGCGAGAGCGCAGCACCAGCACCAACCACAACCACACCGCCATGTCTGTCGCCGTCAACCCACAGAGACACACGCAGGTATACACGCAGGTACAGACACACGCAGGTACACACACATACAGACACACGCAGGTATACTCACATACAGACACATGCAGGTATACACACATACAGACACATGCAGGT